TGGGAGTGTTTTCAGGATTAGCATCCTTCCAGTGAATGGTGAAAGGGAAATGAGCTGGGGCAACAGGGGAATAAGATGATTGCAGTGGTCTCTGAGAGGCTGCTGAGTCCTGAGTGGGGAATGCTTGAGGGGTTACACGGGACTATTCGGGCTTTTACGTCAGTGTTAAAAAATGGACATATCAAGCTTTGGAAAACAGAACTGGATGGGGTTTCTGGGCTTCTCTGGGGTTGAGTGTTGTTGGAATGTGGGACAAGGGAATAAAACATCTTAAGGCTCTCTGCTTTCCCTGCACATGAGCTGGAAGGGGAGAAAAGGGAGCAGGACTCCTCATTTCACTGCTGAGCACTGAGTGGGCTGTCCTAGCTCAGTGTCCAAGCCAGCAGAGCCCTCCTGAAAGGAGGAAATGGGAAATCTGTGACTCAGAGGGAACATGGCTACTACCTGAGAGAAACCCCCAGGCAAAGCTGCCTTCAACATGCTCCATGCTCATGTCTGTGCTGAAATTCAGAGTCCAGACTAAACAGTTACTTAACTCTTGGTTAAAGGATCCCAGATGAAAAGACACAATTTTAGAAATTATTTTAATGCTGTTTTGTCCAAAAAAAAAAAATCATTACCTCCTTCAACTTCTCAACAAGTATAAACCTCCCAGCTTTCCTGCCTCCTCTGGAATTACTAAGTCATTGCAGACATCAAAATTAATGAAGAGATGAAAGATTCAGCAGAGAGACAAAATCTTACTGGAAAAATAGTTCTTAATATAAAAAAACAATTCAAGAATAATGGATATGTTTAGAAAAGTAATAAACAAAGACAAATTTCCTGATGCTTAAAAGAATACACATGAAGGAGGACACAAGACCTAGCGGTTATTTTTTTCTTTAAAACACCAATTCCTTTTTTTTTTTAAATAATGCTTCCATGTGCTTCTGGTTTTACAGGAGTGTGATTTCCACTGGCTAAATTTGTGCAGTACTTTCAACTCAGTTTATTAGCCAAACTCAGGTGATGCAGACAGGGGGCTTCATCCCACCAGATGGAAGGGCTACACTAAAACAGTTTCTCCTGTGCCCATCCACAAGAATCCTGCTACTTGTCACTAAGGAAATGGTTATGGCTAACTTGGAACTGAATTTGAGCACAGACAAGAGAGGGAGAAAGGTGTTTAGGGGTTAAAATAAAATAAATATATATTTAAAATAAATAGCATGTGCAATTCAGTTGAACTTTCTTGTAAGAAACAAAACTGTCTGTTTTCTTTGTGCTATAGGCTGTCACTTGCCCTGGCAGTGGCTTCTCAGCTGATGCAACCAGAGGAGTAACCAGTAGTTCTATATTCCACACTAGACCTGATAAAGCAGTATCATTATGTGATTTCTATAGGAAAAAATGTTTCTTAGAAGCCCTGGTTTAAACAGACTTTAAAGAGATACTCTTTAGTCCTACCTGTGCTGCAAAATGACCTCTTGGCGATTCAAAGAGTTCTGACAGAGAATAAGGGTAACTAATCTATGGGAGCCTCAAGAACTCCCATACCACTGCTAATAGAAGAAAAATCAATATTCCTTCCAATATGAATGGAGTGTTGGATTGACTGAGCAGGGAGCTTTGAAATAAATATCTAAGAAATGTTTGGATGAAATGGACATCTTCACAGACATTTGGTCTGCATTTCTGAAATGTAGATGATTAAATCCACATTGTTGGCTTCTTCCCTCTCTGCACTATGTCTTTCTTTACATCTTACAAAAAATTTATGAACAAAGTTATTGTAAATCTGCAATGTCTGTCTTGTCACTTAGATTCTTTTCAGAAATGCTGCCTTGCCAATGTAGATATACAATTCTATATGATTAATATTTATTACTTATAATTCTAAATACAATGGAAGGTCACCAAAAATTCTCTGCCTAAAAGAGTCTGGAGCCCTTTACAATCTTGTTGGTGATGGATCCTGAGCCTTGAGAACTGAGCTCAAAATCTTAGCAAAACACTTTTCTATGTAGGATTTCCAGTATTTCCTGCTTCTGGCAATGGATAAAGCCAAGAAGCACAAAGGTGAGTGAAAGTTACAGATCTGAAAACATGAGCTTGGATTTCAAACCCAAACAAAGGTCAGGGAATGCCTGAACCTGTCCATGATCTTGGATCAGCCTATAATAGAGTTATGAGTAAAATGCAAAGTTAGGATGCAGAGTGAGACTTTAATTCAGACAGAACTGGCACTGTAGCTGAAAACTGCTCCATTTCCCTCTAATTGCTCATATCCATCATTATATTTTATCTAGATATTTTGGAATACTCTGTGAAAAATTAATATATTTAAGGATTTTTTTGCAGTTTATTGAAAGGAAATCAGCCTGGGGACTTTTAGATTTTATTATGAAACCTTAAAAAGTTTTTAAGAACATGCAAATCATCTCAGAAGAAGTTCATTTCATTTATAGATAATTTTCTTTTTGATATAAGCCCAACCATTTTTAAACATAATTTTTTTAAAGACAGATGCAATTTGAGGTCACTGAAATCAAATGATTGTGATTTGGCCCTCTTCTATGAAAAACAGAGACAAACTTATAAGAGAATTTGAGAACTATGAGATTCAGCAAAATGGTGAAGATTCTGAGGTGGAAATCAAGGCAGACCTTGGTTCACCTGCCTGAGATCTGCTGCATGTTTGGACAGTCTTCTTTTAGGACACAAATATAATAAGCAGAGAGTAAGAATCTGCATCTACATCTTTTTATTCAAAAGTTCAAAGAAACTGTGACTAAGAAAAGCTACTGACTGAAGTACAAACTTGGGAAAAGGCAAATGAGAAAAATGCAGTTTCTTGATTGACAGGATCATACTGAGAGTAAAAAATCCCCTGGACCATTGATCAGATAGAAGACTTTTCTCTAGGAACAAACTTGCAGAGCTTTGCTAATAACACTTTTCTAAACTGACCAAGCCACCCGACCCACGTGTTGAGTGAAAGCAAAAACCAGAATGACAGAAAGAAAGGATCAAGTCAATTAAGATAAATAAATAAATAATTGCCAGAATTTTAAAAAAGAAAAAATAAGAAAATAAAATCACAGTAATTTCAATCTCATGAAGAAATGTTTTTAACAAGCCACATCTGCTTGTGCAGATACTTCTAATCTCATCCGATTTTTCTGGCTGCTATTAGTGTTCTCTGAGCCAGCTGATTTCTCAGCAATATTTTAAGGAGTGCCAGCCTTTGCCCTCCAGTCTAGCCACTGCTAAAATAGCCCATTCTAGGAGAAGACTTGGGAGTTCATGGATTTTCTTCCAAGGTTTTGAAAGTTCAGAACAAATTGACCATTGCATGTGAAACAATAGTCAACCACAAACTCTCTTCAGTCAATGAGCAACATTCTGCTCCCAGCTGGGTTAGTGTGAAAAGAGGAATTATCCCACTAAAGCAAAAGGATGGTTTCAGATTGTCATCAGCATCATAGGGCAGAGCCTGGCTTTCGATGTTGTTCCACTTTCCCAGCTCTCTCACTGCAAACATTTCTGCTGTGAGGTTCCCCTTGGTCACAGCTCACCAGATTAGGGTTCCCATCAAATCACTGCAGCTTTAGCAGCTCTGATTTGAAGGGGAGCCACATCAAGTTACAGTTCAGCTTTATTTTATCTTTTAAAACAGCAATAAATCCCTTCACAAACTGAAATCCATGAACCATGTGCTCTCCTGTAGTACTGGAGCACATGAGTTTCAAGTGAAAGAGCTGTCATTCTGAATCTGCTGAAGAAATGTGCAAATAATCACCAGTATAATGCAGATGTGCCAGGCAGGCACTGCAGACAGAGGAAAATAATCTCTTTTAGGAAAAAATGCCTAATTCAGAATTGCAGAACCTGGCTGGGCAAGGCCTGGATGAGTGGGATTGAGGCACCATGCACGGATTTCTGCTAGCACACTTGCTGAATTCCTGGCTGGAAACTTGCCTCTCACTGTGCCAGCCTGCCCTCTCTGAGGCTCTCACAGCAAACTCCTCCTGGGGTGAGATGCTGAGCACTTGCAAGTGACCCATCTGGAGCCCAAGGCGACGAAAGCGCTTCCCCTGCCTGGAATCCATGTGCAGCGACAGCTTCCCACTGCTGATCCAAGTTTCCCAAGATAGCAATTACAGAGGAACTGGCAACCAGGCAGTCAAGATGACAATATCCTGCGTGGTTTGGTTTGCTGTGCCAATTCCCTCTGTGGGTGCTGGAGTCAATCTGCTGCCCCTGTTATTGCTGTGTCTGTCTGTCTCTACCAACCAGCAGATCCACTGGGCATCTTGGCACAGGCCCTGCCGTTCCAAGGGCTGCCTGCTCAATTGCTCTTTCACCCTCTTGCTTTAAACATTCAGATCCAACAACACCATGCAAATTTTATGCAGAGTAGCATCTGCAAGTCTGACATATTCACTCAGGCTTCCCCCTCTTGCGCCAAGTTAAAAATTAATACCCTATAAACTCCTGGGCCTGCTAAGACAGAAGATGCATTCAGAGAGTTTATTTAAATATAACTGCTAAGAGCATTTCTGCTTTAGGGTCAAACTCCTATTTTTCTCCTCTCTCTCTCCTAAATTTTGTTCTTGCCTCAAGGATCTTAATAGAACTGAAGGAAAAAGCGTCCTTGAAATAATCTAGAGAAGAACCATAATCTAGAGAAACCACCAAGTTCTATGTGTTCCTAACTCTCTTACCTGAAATTTCAGCTATTTTTAAAACTCTAAAGGATGCAGGTCATGATGTACCCCCAACACAGAACAAGAAACTAGTCAAGTGGACTCATTTCCAATACTGATTGCAAATAATACTATTTGAGCCAGATCTTGGGTTAGACTTCAAAGGGTATCCACCCCTACCCCCCACCTCCATTCCCCCACCCCCCACCCCACTACAGCTGCCTTCCCTTTTCTCCAGGGAGAGGCAGATTTGTCGCTGCCCAATACACTTGGAACAGGTGAAGTCACGAAGATGCCAACCAGACAGCATAACGATAAAGTACATGTTAAGGCAACAAGGAGCAGAGTCTGTAAGAGGGGATACTGCGCCATGGCTGGGGGCAGTTAGGACTTGCTGAGCCTCTTGGCCACATCTGCGTAGGCTTGCTCGATTTCTTTGTCTGCTGCACAGGTGTTGGTGAACTCATCCCTGCTGTACGCGTTCTTCAGGTACCGCCACAGCCCCGTCATCTCCGCCGGGAACTCGAAGTTGCGGTATTTCTTTGCAACAATCTAAAGCAAAGATAAAACACCTGAAAAAACCCATCTCACAGGGGATGCATCTCCTTCTCAGGGAGCTTCTTGCTCTCTTCTGTCATATAATTAATAGCAAATGAGAGGAATGTTTGGAGAATCAGGGTTTTATCATAGAAAAGCCTTAGAAGTGCTGCTGGTTGTCCCATATCATGCAAGGCTGCTGCTTGGCCTAAGGATACTCTAAAGCTATGACCTGGCTACTGTCACCAAATTTCAACTTTTATGATACTTGAAGTTAATTGATTTTACCATATTGGGGTTTTGGGGGGTTTTTTTACGAGTCTTAAGTACATCACTTAAAGCTGAGACACCACATAAGAAGGGGCTGAATCATCAAGAGCAAGACAGATTTAAGAGAAAGGCATTAGTAATGATTATAACATATTTTCATATTAATTATTATATTTAACATTTTTTTATATTATGGTATTATATTTTTAATATATGTAATATATTTTGCCTGGTAAATGGTGTCAGAGGATATAACCACCTACAGCTGTTGGAAGGCTGTTGGAAGGCTGTTCATGAAAAGGAAAAATTCAGGGTGGTATGGGTACCATGATTAGGAAACCAAGATGATTTAGCATATATTAGAAACAGGAGCATTGGGATAAACTGAGGGAGAAAATGGTTATTTCAAGACTTGTTAGACTAGGAAATTGTCTATCAAGGCAAATTTTCGATTTCTAAAAACACTTAGGCCCTTATTCAGGAAAATAGTTAAGTGCATACTTAATTTTAAGCACCTGTACAGTCCCATTGAAGTCAATGGGATTAATCTGCACTTAAAGCTAGTTGGTTGGTTAAGTACCTTGCTGGATTGGGATATTTCAGTTTCCCTGTAGAAATATACCATATAGAATAAGCTTGTGGTGACAGAGTGAACTATCTGATAGGAAAGGATGGATTAGCTAATTTAATGAGTGCTTCTCTAATTTTTCTGACAGTATAAAATTGTTCCTGGGCATAAATTACACACATATGTGCCACAGAGCTCCCCTTTATTTTTAAAGCACATGGTAGAGCTGTTTTCCATCTCAGATTTTTAGGACAGTCATGTTCTCAGAAACGACTGTGATTTGTTTCTATTACCAGGATCCACTTGGTATAAGCAAGTCCAAATCCTGTCCTAAACTGCATTTAATTAAGCATTCTTGCCTTCCCTGATGCTTCACACGCATATGGGGGAGATAAAACCTGCTGGGCAACTTAAGTCAACATTTTCAAAATTTCCAGCACACATATTCCATCAAATGAAAAAATAATTCACCCTTTTCTTCTATCTGTTAAATGCTTTTCAGGCAATAACCTATGGCTACGCTTGTCTGAGAAAAATTTTAATTCTCTTTTTACATCTTTCATTTCATCCCTAGGAGACAAGAACCAGTGAGAGGCCACACATTCATTTTGCATTGTCTGACTCCAACGTTGCCAATGAAGACAAGCCAGAATAAGCACTAAATCTGTGAGAATATTATCACATTTCTCACCTGGTGACTTATGTGCTTTTTTTATTTTTTTTTTCTTTTTGCATGTGTGCAGTCAGCTCCCAGGCTTGGTTTATGTTTTGGCTCACAGAGCCAAATTAGATGCATGACTTGGCTTTAATTCCTAGCTCACTCACTTGCCAAGGTCTGCCAGGTACTTGCGTTATTCTAAAGCAACATGTCATCTGATAAATGAAATAAATGCAACATTTAGAAGTCAAGATGATGTACATGATTTGCCCTTTACCAGCAACCATAGTAATCTGAAATCCTGGACCTTGGCAATGACTTTGATTTGTTAACTTCTCTGTGTGAAATACCAGATGGAATAAAAATTCCCCAAAGAGATGGACTGCTGATCTTAAGTTACAAATGGGTGGGAACTGACTAAAGTTTTGACATGTTTCTTAAGGGCATTAGGAACTAATTAATACAAAAGACTGCTGCTACTTACAGCTGGGTAAAAATAAAGAGACAAGACATCTAGAACTTAGTACTGTCTTCACCACTAATAAGTGATGGGACAATTTTCCCATGAACTAAGCATAAAGTTCCTTTATTTAGCCTGTAGAAAACACTGAAGAGCAAAACTGTGTTTCAAACTGCTCTTCTAGGCCTTAAGAACTCTCTGCTGAAATCCACTTTGGCTTTGGCACTCAGCTGTCAGAGCAAGGCACATCATATAACCATCTTTGACCAGCTCACGACATTTTTTACCTTCACAACGTGGAGCTTGGGCAGAAGGTTGCAGTCAGCAAGTGTCAGGTCATCTCCATCCAGAAACTTGCGTTTAGACACTTTTTCCTCTTCAGTGCTGTCTGCATCAATCTCCTCTGGCAGGGGAGTTCTCAGGTAGTCATCCAGCTTCTTCAGAGCCTTCACTAAACCCCTTTCAAGTGCTTTGCCAAAAAAAGTAAAGAATAAGTGATTAGGGTAGAATAAGAATTGTTTAGAAATGCTCATTATCAATGGCTATGGTAGTGTCTAGAAAAAAAAAGCCAAGAAACAATTTATTCGTTGTTAATTTGTGCTCCAAAGCTGACACAATCCAATGGCAAAGTAGCCCAGCAAAGTACATCTGCATAAAACTCATCCTGCAGTGAGAAAAGGGACACAGGGACCTTGCTGTACCATGTCTTCTCCTGACAAACAACAAAAAGCAGTGGAAGAGATCACAGAAGGAAAAAACAGCTTGTCAAGATGAGACACCAAAAAAACCACATATTGCCTATGATACTCTTCTGGTCTGTTGAAAGACATCACACAGGAACTGGGACCCTGTACACTGCTCCTTCATTTTTCTAACCAGCTGCATAGGACTGCAATGAAGCAGAATTTTCTAGCATTACTTCAGCTCTATCAAGTCTTAATTTTACTTCTTTCAACACCCTTGCAGAGTAATTAAAGGCAATAGCAGTAATTCCAAAGATGCTAACCAGAGCCCCATAGAGCTGAAAGATATGCTACAAATGAGATGAGATATTAGCCAGTGTTAAAATTCCCATTTAACTCCAGTTCAACTTGGGTGCAAATGCTCTTTTTGAGAGATCTCAAATAGTCTTGCAACAGAGAGGAGACTCCAGACGTCTTAGTTCAGTTACTGAAGATCATGTCCCACACTGTTGCTGGCTCCCACAAATTCCAATGTTCAAATGCCACCTAGACCTTTACAGCAGAGTGCAAATTTTTCACTCAGGCAAGGAATTTGTGTTTTTATGCTTCACTGTCAGGACAATAGAAAAGCTTGCTTGCAATTGCAAGTGCAATTTGCACTTACAAACAGCTGGATAACTCTGTGCAGGCTTGTGCATTACTCAAACTGCAAACACTTGGGGCAAAGAAGGGTCTTTCGTGTTTCTGTCTGAAGGGTGAAAAGTATGATGGAGTCCTGGTCCCCCACAAGTGCCCCAAAGTGCTAAAGCAACTTAAATAAGAAACAGCAAGAATTTACAATGTGAAAAAATAACAACATGACTCATGGGCTTAAGGCCAGAATTTTAGCTGGTGAAAATTACCTGTGGTGATTTATACTTGCTGCAGATGTGGCCTAGAGTCATTATTAATGGCCTAATACTGTAAAATCTTATATCTCTGAGTAACTTACTGCCACTGAACTTAGGGGAGAGTTACTCAGGTGGTATAGCACCACAAGGCCTACGGAGATAAGTACAAGGACCGATGGGTTCAAACTGAAAGAGAGGAAACTTGGTTAATTACATGCAAGAAATTATTTATGGTTGCCCAGAGGAGCTGTGGCCCCATCCCTGGCAGTGTTCAAGGCCAGGGTGGACAGGGCTTGTAGCAACCTGGGATTAGTGGGAGGTGTCCACAGCAGGGGTTTGCAACTAGATGATCTTTAAGGTCTTTTCCAACCCAAACCTTCTACAATTCTATGGTCCTAAATATATTTATGGACCACAACAGGCACTCGAAAGGGCTGCAGCAATCACCCTTCACAGAGAGCCTTGCTGGCACAGGTAACCACAGGCTCTGCTGTCAGCTGCCCCTGTGCTTTTGGCACTGGGAGAAAGGCAGCACATCCAGGGCCACTGAGAGAGTAGGAGCTGAACACCACAGAACATGATTTCCCTGCTGCCCTAACATCCATTAAACCTGTGCCAGCAGTGGAAGTCAGATTAAGCCACTTGATGCCTTGCTCCCACTGAAGTCTCTTGGCCCAGCACCAGGGAACCATACCAGCTCTTTTGTGGCTGACTCTGAGACACAGTGGCAAACCCTGGCTTAATTGATTGACTGGAGAAATGACTGCAATCCAACTGAAAACACCCCCACAAACATAGCAGGGAGGGAAGGAATTTTATTTCTGAAAGCAGAGCATCTAAAGCGACTGAAGTGCTGCCATGCATAAAACAAAAGTGTTGCCATCCTTCATTTAATCAATTCAAATTGAATTTTGACACTGACATTCTGCTGTCAGATGCTGGCAGTGGTGCCTTTAATTTCCTGCAGCTGTCCTGCCTCACAACTTCCACGGGAGGGTAGGAACTGTGGAGTGTGGCAGCACTCAAAGGATTTAGCAATGTCTTTTTGGTTGGACCTGTAACACCTGTTGAATAGACAGTTCTGCTTCTCTTAGTCAGCCTCAGACTATGTCTTACAGTGTGTTCATGCAGAGAGAGTGGACTCCAATTACTGTGATTTCATTAGTTTTGTTCATCTGGGTTTTAGAGATGGCTCAACACTGACCACTTTCCAGTATTCCCTTCACCCAGTAGGATTGTTGGTTCTCCAAGTCATCTGAGCAACATTCCAGTGTCAGGAGGATGTTTGGATGTCTGATGCTTTGTGCTAGCCCATGGGATCAGTCAGGTGTGTGCACAGAGACAGCAGCAGCAGCAGGTGAGGTGTGTTTATGTAACTCTTCTGGAACTTATTAGGTTTTGGGGGATTTTTTTGCTCTCATTGCTCTATCAAAGTGCGTCATGGCTGTCCCAAAAACAATGCCTGGAGTGCAGCCTGTTTGTGACAGCAAGAAAAACAACTGTCTGAATTCATAGTTGGCTCTTGCATGCAGCAGCTTTAGGCCAGAAATAAGTGTGTGTGTTCAGGGCTCAATACATCTGTGACCTAATTCACAGCCTCTGCTGGAGCCCACAGGATGCTGACACCTCACATTGAAATCACCACAGAGTCAGGACCATCTTATATCCTGACAGGCAAGAACTGAACAACTACTTGTGACACCAATGACCCCATTTTTTTAATCAAAACTCTTCTTAGTAAACTCGATCTTAGATCCTAGTAAAGTTCTCAGGACAGCCTGGAAAATAGGAAAATAGTGAATAAGAGAGAACTGCTCTCCTTCCAATTAAATTGTGACAAAAAATTGAAAAACTAAGAGAATTAAAATCGATAAATTGCCACATGAAATGGATTTTAGGTGCCCAGGGTCAGATTTTTAAAGCCTGTTGATGATTACCAAGGCATTTTTTGAAATCCATATTCAAATATCCATGTTGCAAATCCTACTTTCTAGGTGCCCTAACACACTCAGATCTATCTGTAGGATTTGAAATCTTATATTCCTTGAGAAGGTACTCAGGGAAATCCCCACTCAAAGTAGGAGGATGTGTAAAAGAATCTCATTTTCTCTCTTACCTGGTAGATACTTATGCATTATTTGAAAGGTGAAAAATTGTGAATGGAGACCAGGAAATGACCTCTTCAGAATAGCCTACAGCTCTGGAACTCTTTCCTGAAGAAAGAACTGTCTGGGTTCACATTACTGACCAAACTCATCTTGGATTAATTCCTTAAACTTGGACTTAATCCCAGATTTCCCATACTGTGGCTATTTCATTGAAAGCTGGGTGACTCTCTACATTGTCTCCACTGAGAACACAGGGAGAGGATGCACTCAGCAAGGCAGGGGCCATGTGAACACCAGTCAGCACCAGACTGGATGAAGACATTAAAAAAGATGTGAAGATCTAAAAGGTTCCTAATCCCCTATTTGTGAGAGTACCACCCACAGTGAATTTCAGAAGTGGCTGAGCACCTAATTCCCTTGGCAACTTGTCCTCTGGGAAACATCATTAAAGAACTAAATAGCTTTGCTGATAACAGCCAATGGGTGGGATTAATCTTCCCCAAAGTGAGTAAAATTAAAAGAATAGGTTTGAATTAAACACCCTGGGAGCTTCCTCTCTGTTGAGTGGAGTTTTCTCTTCTACACTTGGTTTTGGTGACCCCTATGAGGGTCTGGGGAGAATGAGCTCTGGGGAGAACTTCTCCTGAAGTGTCTAATCACATCCTTGCATTGTCTTGGTAACGTCAGGGTGGAGAATTCAACATTACAACACCAAGTAGAGCCAGGCCTGAGTATGTAGCTCTGTGCTGCTTTTGAAACTTCTACCTCCAACTGCTTCTCCACCCTGCAGACTTTCAATAGGAACTTAGAGATCCCAAATATGATCAGCTCTGAGAGAGGAGCGCTGTCATCAGCTTATCCATGCTACAGCTGAAATGTCTGAACTCCTGGAAACCATTTTTCTGGACAGTGGAATCACCAAGCACAAAGGCACCAGCATCATATAGCCTTCACTGGGATATATTTAATATAACCTTGAATTCCAAGAAATTCTACCCATGTATAGACAAAATCCATGGTGGAACCATCTCTCTCAACCTTCTCTACTTCATTCTGGGCTACTTATGCAGCCAAAGACAACTTCTAGCAATGACAGTCATGCCCTGTCATCCCACCAATAATAAACAATAATATTAGTAAAAAAACCCTCATGAGCTTTTTGTGATTTTTCTTCTCCCTTCAAAACTAGGATTTTAAACAACTTTACTTAAGAATTCTGAGTTAGAAGCCAGAAAAATAGCACTTTCCAACCTCAAAGCAACCACAGAACACTTAATGAATGTATTACCATCTGTCAAATGCACAGGGTGAGGTTCAATTTAGCTGATGATACCTAATTCACATTGACATTCTGTTTTCAGCAGAAGGTTACTTGATGTTGAACAATGAGATTAACAAATTCTGACATGCACAGAAATACAAATAATGTAACAAAAGTTAATAATGGGCAAAACTGTGCTCTCAGTTACACTGACATAAAAGAGGAGTAACTGCATTGTCAACAAGCTATTCCATATTTACTCCAGTTCAACCAAGAACAGACTTTGGCTCTGTTACTCAACTCTTCAAGCAAAAACTTCCTTAAACTATTAGTCTGTGCAACTATTTCCAGGGGATGGAGAGAAACCCTTGTGCCTTGAAGTACTTACACTACATCTGAACAAAACATTGGAAAATGTAATGCATGGAGCAATCCTGCAAGTCAAGGAGAGGGCCAGATGACAAAGATACATTAATAGGTACTCAGGGTGAAATTTTGGCCATCCTGGAGCTCATGGAAGTTTTGCT